TGTGTGTGTGTGTGTGTGTGTGTGTGTGTGTGTGCACGCGCTTTCAGTAGCTGGAGGCTATTGTGAATCCTACCTCCTAGAAAGACCGCAGGGCTTTATTTGTGTGTTGTGCCCTGTGGGAACTGATAAGTAAGATGAGTTCCTTCCAAATGAGCACTGTTTTAATATTTTGGTGTTCTTCACAAGAGCATATGTTTGGAGGGTCATTTATAAGGCGATTATGAATACATAAAAGACTGTGTTGTGTCACCCAGGGACTGGGTAGCAAGCTGTGGCGCACACACACACACTTTTCATGGCAGCACATGGTCCCCTATGATCTGGCCTGTGACTTGCTCTCTGTCTTTTGAAGCAGTCTGTGTGCACTGATCTTACAGGCATGAAACAGTCCAAATCCCACAAGGTTTGGAGAGAGTGCTTCAGCCTGCACCTAAGGAGCAAAGGCAACAGCGCTTCTCTATTAATAATGCAGTGCGGGCGGCTCTGTGCTGCTGAAAAACGAGAGCAGGTTAGCATTTTGAAAGAAACAGCAAGGGGGGCAAGTGGATCACCCGTGAAAAATGTGCACGAACATCAAATAACTTGGATTTGTTGATGCTCAAAAAAAGCTTTCTTATAAATATTCTGGATTAAAGTCGGCATGAAATGGCGTTCACAACCAATTTAGCTTCCGTAATGTGAATTCCCAAGTGAAACCGGATATTTAATGAGGGGGGGAAAAAAGGGAAACAGAAATCTCAGATTATAGAATCATGGAAATGGGTGGAAATTGTTCTACTCACAAACACAGACAAAGAGTGATGCTTTGGCTTCTTTAGAATTAGATTTTGTTGGTGCTGGTAGCCAATATTAAAATGTTGTTTGCTGAACTTTTAATAACAACATTTGTTCTGTTGTACTACCAATTGTGCTCTCACACTTTTAATTGTGTTATTTTTCCTAAACATATTAGCCGAGTGTTTTTGAATTTTTTTACTGCCATATTTGACTGGGCACTACAAAACACAACAGTATAATATAATGTCATTTGACATTACATATATGTATGTCTTTAAAGGAGGAGAGAAGTGCAAATGTTATGCAATTCAAATGTTAAAAATACACATACAGTATGTGTGGTTAGTAAAACTTAAATCAGTCTAATTACCAACTGGTTAACCATATGTGTACTTAAAAATACATATCCAGAAATGTAATATACAGTGTAAATAAACTTTTTTTTTCTTTATTAAAAAAACAAACAAACAAATAATATGGATTATTGTTCAGCACATTGTTAGGCCAAA